GTCGTAGTCACCGTCCGTTTTCCCGGTCTGATCGGCAGTGTCATCCTTCGACAGTAGCTTTCTTGTGTTCTCGTTCATAATCCCGTATTCTACCATATTTGCTCTTTTCGTGCCCATCTTCCAGAGATCCCTGTAGACTTCGATGAGGCTTTCACCGTTATTGTCGTATACGATTTTACCCCCCACCCTTATCATGAGTCGCTCGCACAAAAGTTTACCGAGGTTATTCATGAACCGGGATTTGGTGTTTTCGTTCTTGAACTCGTACGACAGGCGAAATGAGTCCGGTACGATACAGGTGTTCGGTTCTAGTTTTGGGACTGCTATGCGAATGTCGTTTCCGGGGTTGGATTCGTTCGGGTTAAATGTAACGAAGTTACATACTTTGTTTCCTACAACGTCGGAGGTCAGTGCCCTTTTAAAACCGGGCGTTAGTTCCTGGCTTCTCTTTTCCATTCCTTTTATTATAGTACATTAATTCTTAAATTTTTCGAACTTCGGTTTGGACTCGTCCTGTACTTGTAGTTTTGCCGTGCGATTGGGCTTGTCCGTAGGTCTGACCCTGCAGTATATGTAGTAGATTCCCCCCAGCGCGGCTGTTACGACTCCGGCGTAAATCAGCGTATTTACCGAGTCTCCTTGATCGGAATTATTTTCGGCGTTACGTCTTTCTGCTGCCTTCCTTGCTTTTGCTTCTTTCGATATTTCGGCTAGTCTTTTACCCGATTCTACCCTTCTTGGATCCTTTGGTTTTTGGGTATTTTCTTCCCTTGTTATTGTTGGTTCATCCATCCTTTATTTAATATACTTACTTTTTTAGGATTTCTAATCAAAGTCTAGCTGCAGCATAACCTTAACTAGATTTCAGCATAACCTTAACTAGGTTTAGCATCTAGACAAAGTTTAGTCAACGTCTAGTCAGATTCTAGTCAAAGCTAGTTGCAACATAACCTTAAGTAGTTTCAAAATCAACTTAAGGTAATCCCGAAACATACTTAAAGAAATATTTTTCCATATAATAAAAGATATGGATTTTCCTATGACAGTATTGGGAGAGATTCGTCACTTACCGGAAAAGGAGCGTAAGTTGATGGAAAAGGAGCGTAGGTCGATAGAAGAGGTGCGTAAGTCAATGGAAGAGCGGCATAGGTTAAGGTCAAATCCTCCGGATTGGTTGGTCCTCTTCAGGCAAGCGGAAAAGGAGCACTAGGATCTCCTTGGTTCAAAGGAACCTGTGGAGTTTCCAAACAAACAATTTTGTTCCGAGGGACGCAAGCACCAACTTGCCCCCATAAACGGGGAATGGACGTGTCGTGAGTGTGGGCTGATTATCGGCAAGGTCCACGATCCCGGTTACGATTATCGGGACAGTGTAATTATGAGACGTCAGAAATTGAGCATCAGCGATAGGTTTGAATAATTTTGTACCAGAAGGAAAATAACATATTCTGATCTATCAGAGCATGAAAGGCGTTTGATAGAAGAAAACATTCAGAAAGTCTGTGAGGCAGAGGAACCGAAAATGAAATCGCTTCCTAACCTCAACATCCTGACTTATCAGATATGTAAAAGGTTTAACATAAAGATGGACGAGAAGCTGCTTAAGATTCCGGAAAGCAAAGTTCCACACGATCGATGCAGAGAAGTATTCCGGACGTTGGGTTGGGAATACACCGAGTGCGGTCGTCAGAACAAGACATCGGCAGACACATCCGACATTAAACTCAAATACGAAGGTTTGTGTAAAAGGATGGGAATAACATATTCCATGTTATCGGTAAAGGACAGGAGTAGGATTATGGAAGACATAAAAAAAGTACACGACGCGGAGGAACCAAAGGTGAAGTCGCTTCCCAACCTTAGTATTCTGACTTATCAGATATGTAAAAAACTTGACATAACAATCGACAAGGAACTGCTTAAAATTCTGGTAAGCAGGGTTCCGCATAATCGGTGTAAAAATGTATTCCAGAAGTTGGGTTGGGAATATATCGAGTAATTTTAACGCTTTTTATTAAGCATTAAAATTGGAATAGTAATTTAAGGGCGATGATGACGATAAGAATTTCAACCGTTATCGGGATGAGTAGGCAGGACACCAGACTCATCCACGTTAGTCTCCACAATATTTGAATTTTCGTCATTTATTTTAACGTACCTTTTTACCGCTGTGCTGGCATATCCATTTTGAGTGTGAGCGTTGACAGTGATATCACCGCGTTCTATACCGATTCCAAAACTGAACATTTTCCTTTTCCGGTGGTTTCTGTCGTACTTTACTTCATTTGTAGTCTCAGGTTTTGCGAGTAAACATCCCATTTTATTTATTCTTCCCTTTATTTTCCGTTGACTTCGGTTTTTCTTCCTTTGCAGTCTTTGCCGACGGTCCCGCTTTATTTTCCTTACACGACGTAACGTACTTGATGTTGGTTGTCTTGGATTTAATGTAGCCGAGATTCAGTCCACCTCTACTGAGCTTTATACCAACGTTAACGGCCTTGTCCTTTTTTAACTTTCCCCTAACTTTGCTGCTGTCGCTATTCATTCTTTTATTAATACGAAAATAATATCCATCTTGAAGCGATAACCCCACCGACGAACATAGTGCCGAGAAGGTAAATCAGATTGCTCGATGTTTTCGGTACGCTTACCGTGTTAGGATGTGGTATGGTGTCCTGCCTCTCGCGTGGTATAGGGTTTTGGACTTTTACATCCGGACTCTTCTTTATCTCCTTAGGCCTTGAGTAGTTAACATTCGTATTACTACCAAACTTCACGTCCTTTGTCGCTAGTGTTAATGTGTTGTTGTATCCCGCTACTTTTTCCTTGAGTATGATCATATTGGATGGTACCAATATCAGTCCGGATGATATTGCCATGTTAAGTACAACGTTAGTATCCTTTATTGCCCTCCTCATATTTGAGATGGATACCGATACATCGTCTTGCGCAACGGTATCTTTGAAAAGTCTGTGAAATACGTCCTGAGTCTGCAGGTACTTCGCCCCTTACCAACGATAGACCAACGTGTTTGTGCTTGCGCACCTAATACGCAGTAGACTTAACTTTCGATAGATTGCTGAAGTAGCTTTAATCCCAGAGGTGTCAATCCGTCCGATTTCTTAACTATGAACTGGGTGTAGTCCGTGTCGCTGTTGTTAACGACCTTGTCCACTTCCTGATAGCTAATTCCCATTACACCACCGGTATGGTAGTACGAATATTTGTAATTCCTAACCCTACTTTTATCCGGAAGTCTGCTATGCCAGAGACCTATTTCTGTCTGTCCCCGGTGGAATTTGTCAACCCATGTTTTCTGTGTGGGCATATTTCTTTGTAGGGACTTTAGCATATCCTTCGTTACGTACTTCGTCATTTTGCTCGGATTTCTGAGGAACCTACGCATGTGGTAGTATAGGTGATACCTAGCAATACTTGTGATTATTCTTGAGGTTCCTTTGCTTTCCAACAGGTGTTCCGTACTTATCCCACACTTATACGTAATAATGTAACCTTACCCTTGTGATATCCTTTGTGGTACCGGTCCACTTCGTGTCGAGATCGGCGAAGTTAGATACAAAGCTGTTGTGGGATGTATTAATGCAGTCACAAACATAAATTTCGAACCTATTTATTCTGTACGGAAGTTAGTCCTTGTTGTGTCTAAAGGTTTGAACGGTTCCGTAATTACCCCATATCCTCTCCCATTGGTAAAGGTACCACGTCCACTTTTTATTTCCACTGAATGTGCTCGATTTAATGTCGTAACTTTCCAAGTCTGTAACCTTAAAGAATATGTCCTTGGATTCTAGGGTTCCGTCCTTTGCAAATGTAACCTGAAAGTCAAATTTAGACATTTCTGCACCCGGATATTTTTTTCTAAAATCCTCCTTCATCTTCCGTATTTCTACGGGTATTGCCGCCCTTACTTTTTCATAGTTCTGTCCGTAATAGTTACGAAGGATGTCTTCATTAGTACTCATTTTATTATTACATATAATAAAATGAAGAAGTTAACGGTGTTTATCGAAAACGGAACTACCGAGTTCTTTCGGGACAAGTATATTAGAACAAACGCCGGGTCAGAATTAATTCTAAAGAACGCGACCATCTACTGGGCTTATAAGAACGTACGTTCGGGTGTCAACGATAGCATTACCTACGGACAGAAGAAAATTACCTTTGACGAAGGCTACTGGACCTTCGATGCAATAAAGAAAAAACTGAAGGCAGACGGAATAACAATAAAACGAAACACGCACGACAATACCTGCAGAATTTATCCGGCAACCAAGGTGAACTTACATTTAAATGAATTTGCTCCACTAATACGATTTCCAGAAACGGAGGTCCTAACCTCCGAAGTGTGAGAAAGATCTCCCTATCCTATAGATATTAATCGCGGTCTTAAATATATTACCATAGACTGTGATGTTGTTAATACAAATTTTGACGTAGATGGTGATGGAAGTTTTACGGTGGGCACGCTACCCGTGACATCCGGCCATCATATAAACGGAACAACAACGTTTTTCAAAGACATTGGAAGTAGGGTTTATGTTAATAACGATTCCCACAGCAGATTCTCATTCAGTATCAATACGAACATCGGCGATAAGGTCGATATGTCCGCACTCCTCGAATTTTATATCACATAAATAAAATGGAAGACGGACACTTTATTACCGAAACCTAAACTCCAAGATTGAAGAATTAGAAAGCGAGAAACAAAGCCTCAAAACTGCGCTGAAGATCTTATACGCCGACTTGGAAACTGCGGAAGGAAATATGCAATCACTAACTGACAAACATGAAGCCCAACAGCATCCATGGATTACAGTATCTGGCAAGTCGAAAGGTCACCCAATAAACCTTGAGTTAAACAACAACAACAACAAATACTCGGCCCTGCACGTCGAGGATGACACAGAAATTGTCATTGATAGTGACGAAACTAAAGCGTCAGTAAATTCAGCTGGGAGTAGAAATAAATACTTTCCACATCACACACCAAAAACAAAGACGACCAGAAATCTACAAGACCCGAAACCAAGAAGTACAACATCAGCTCAACAGCGAAAGATTGCTATCCTGGGAGATTCAATGATTAAAGGTATAAACTCAAGAAAACTTCAACATGGCCTTAAACAAAAAGTCATTGTAAAAACATTCCCGGGTGCGCATGTAGAAGATATGACTCATTACGTGAAGCCAACTCTAGCCTCGAATCCAGCTGAAGTCATTGTACATATCGGTACAAATGACTTGAAAAACAAGTCACCCAGTACCCTACTTAAAACGGTAGACAATCTTGGAGAAATGAGTACGGAGAGTAAAGATGTTAAACTGACATTATCAGAGATTATAACCAGATGTGACGATGAAACTCTAGCGGACAAGGTAAATATTTATAATGAACTTCTAGCTAACCTTTGTACTGAGCGAAATTGGGGGTTAATTAAAAACTCTAATATAAAGAAAGATCATTTAAATAACTATGGACTCCACTTAAACCCAAGAGGTTCGACGGTCCTAGCTAAGAACTTCAAACTGTATGTAAGTAATCAAAATTGACTAAATGTTAATTCACAAAACCTAATGATGCAAGAACCTATTAGAAACTCCGGTGCAGTATCAACGGATAACCAAAGCAAACTATATCCAAAACTTAAGGGCTTTTCAATTGCGCAGTTAAATATTACCAGTCTGACTAAACATATTGACGAACTCAGGATTCTCATAACAGAAATGAACTTTGACATACTATGTATTAATGAAACAAGAATTGACAAGAAAATTAAGAACTCAGAAATAGGACTTCAGGGATACGACTTAACAAGACGTGACAGAAATAGACGCGGTGGGGGTGTAGCAATATACATACGTAATACCATACCATACGTGGAGAGGTCAACAATAATCCCTGAAAATGTAGAGGCAGTATGTATCGAAGTAAGAAAGCCGAATGCCAAGCCAATACTCATTTTGACGTGGTACCGACCACCAAACTCCAATTCTGAGATTCTCGACTCTTTTGAAATCTTTCTTCAAAACATAGACACAGAAAATAAAGAAATTATAATAACTGGAGACTTTAATATAGATTTAATGCCCAGTGAGACCGAGAATAGTAAGGCAAAAAGGCTTAAAGAATTACTAAACACATATCAATTGTCTCAACTTATTAAAAAGCCTACTAGAACAACAGAATCAACGAAGACGCTCTTTCTCTTTCTTCAGATTTAATAATCTGTAAAACTGACGACCCCAAAACCGCTACAACGGACGTTGTTGAGCTAGGTATAAGCGACCACAACCTAGTCTACACTTGTAGAAAGGTCGGAATATGTAAACAAAAACCCAAAATTATTGAAACAAGGCAATACCATAAACTAAATAATGCGAAATTCCAAAACGATTTAAAACAAGCTTTACTACATATTAATGAACATTCAGATCCAAATACGGCCCTACAGGAATGGAACAGAATTTTTCTACTGATAGCTGATATAAATGCTCCTAAACGATTGAGAAAAGTGAGAAGTGACCGACAACCGTGGATGACTGATGAAATTAAAAACTCAGCTTTCACAGAGACTACTTAAAAAAGAAAGCAGTCATGTTAAATTCCTCTGCCTTTCATAGTTCATACAAAAAATGTAAAAACAAAGTAACTAAACTTATTAGTAATGCAAAAACTCACTACTTTAGAACCAATCTCGAAAACAGCAAAAGTTGCAAAGAAAACTGGATTCACATAAACAAACTGCTAAACCACAAAACGGTCAAAACTCAGACGATCAATAACATTAAATTTGGAGACCAAAATATTACAGGTGATATCAACATAGCAAATACAATTAATAACTACTTTGTAGAAATTGGAACCCAAACTTGCTTCCGTTATTTCTCCTACAGACATAGACCCTATACAACCTATTCAGCCTTGTAGATCTGAATTTAACTTAAGAACAATAACAACGACAGAATTAATTCAAACAATTGGGAAAACTAACTTAAACAAGGCCCCAGGTCTAGACAAAATACCAATTAAACTAATTAAACTAGCAGGAGATGCCATTCACGACTCCTTACTACATATCTTTAACCTTGTACTGGGCACTGGCATTTTCCCAGATGATTTAAAACTTGCTAAA